TAACCCAGTTATATATGCTGAGTTGTGAGCATGTATGGATGTTTCGTTTGATGATGAGCCAGATGTGTATATGTGGTGCAGGTTGCACTTTGCAGAATGTGCCAATGTTTTGTCTTCTTTAATCTTGATGATAAATTACATGTAATTTGCATAATTATCCCTCGTGAAGGAGATTTACTCAAGGAAGTGTTTAAATTGATTGAAATACGAGCTGAAATAGATCTGACAGCTCATAAGTAGGACATCTTTCTAACATTGTCTTTGTTTGTTAATGTGAGTCTTTGCAGAGGAGCAGCAAAGTCAAAGCATTTTGACAACATTAATAAGAATGTACGTGTTTCAGCTATTAGCTTATTCAGAGAAAAATGCTATGTTATAAATTATTATTGCATTCATTGTCAGCATTGAGTCCCGTGACTGACATGCTTTACTGAGTAGGTCAATTCCATTAAAATATTTATAGTAGCCAAGCGATGCAGATACCAGCTTTTACGACAAAGCGTCCACTGTAATAAGCTGAAGTCAGGGGTCTCACTTGAGGCATTATGGATGTGAGAGGACTGCGGGTGTAAAATGTTTATATGGATTGTTCATAAAGGGGCTAAAAGGGTCAGCTAATTGCATAGTCCGAGTGGTATTGAGCCAGATACTTCAGGTTCAGGTTAGTTTGAAGCATTCAAGGCATTGACAGTGACATTTTAAAACATCAACAGCAGTGTTTCTTACCAAGTAAAATCCCATTAGCTCCAAATAACACACAGACCTGACTGTGGACACTTTCCATTGGATGTGATTACTAGAGGAAGATAACGAAAACAGCAAAAACTGTCCACAGCAAGGTCTGTGGATTATTTGTATTTTTAATCGGTAATTTCTTGAAATCTTTCACAAGAGCGTTATTTTGGCAACAGTAGCATTTGATGATAAGATGCAGAAAGCAACTGTGTCAGATTAAAGCATCTCATGAGGGGAGTGGAGCTAATAAGTTACATTTTAACAGGTCAAATCTAATAAAACATCTTCAGGCCCAAAGGAGCACAATGAGGCCGTTGATGCCACGGCGATCTGAGTTACGGAGTGTTAATTCTAAAGCTATAGCATAGACAGAATAATGTATTTATAGCAACCACTTGTCAGAAAACATGATATATTGTCATCTCCTGTTTCACCTTGACAGTGTGCTTTGATACAGATACAAACAGCATTAAATTTTTTCACCCAATTGACACAATTTGCCACAAACATCACACCGCTACTCCTCAGTCTTGGAAACACACAGACACAATACACTCACAGCTAAAATCAACTCTCCCTTTACAGTGATGTCCACCGATGATGAACTTCCATAAATCAATTAAAGGAATCACATAAAAAGGCACTTCTTAAGATGTCTCTGACTCACTCTTTTTTTTTTAGTAGTAATCCAGATGATTTTTGTGTGAACAGTGTGAAGAGGAACTGCTAATGGCCAAAGCCGCAGATTTGCCAAAATGTAAACAAATAGGCCATCGAAAGAAAGAAAGAAAGAACAAAGAGGTTGAGATAGTTTTAACGTTGATCTTCAGTTGTTCTGCAAGTTCATGGGTAAAATGTCATCACTTTTCACCATCCAGCATTTGGTTGGCAGTGCAGAATACAGCTTGACTGGGGTTGCTCAGGTGTTGTTACCTTGATGCCTCACTTGACAGTAGACAGTCATCATGGTTGAGCTTTACATTTAGCTTATCTTTATGTGGCCCTTAACCCTGTCTTTGGTAAGTAGTGTTGGCACATTAAGGCTGGTGTTGTACTGCGGACGTATCTGAATTTCTCTCAGTTGTTCTGGACACAGTGTTTGGACAAGCCTCCCTGTAATCCCCTCGACTAGGGCTTGGCTGCTCCTGCTTTAGAGGAGATAAAGACAATGCTTCTCACTATGGAAATGTGTGCAGACGCTTTGATGCTTTATTCACTTCGGCTTTTCAAAGGACGTGTCCAGTTCTTCGGCTCCCCTCACACCTTCCCCTCACTCTAAACCCTCCACCCCCACTATGCCGGCTCTGATCGATCCAACCATGTCTCCCAGTCCCACATGTCATCTTTTTTCTTTGACACGGCTCTCCTCTCCCCACTGCTTGGTATTCTGGGGTGGGAATGCATGCACCATCGCAGATCCATCAGCTCCGATCGGAATGCCGCACCACGGCTTGGGGAAATGGAGGGATGAGAAAGGATGAAGAGAGAGAGAGAGCGAGAGAGAGAGGTGGAGAGAGAAAAAAGGGGGAGGGAGGGAGGGAGAGAGGGCAGGTCAGTGGCTTTTTTGACATCCTTACGGGACCAAAGGCTCAGACTGACGGACAGAAAGAAAGACAGAGAGATGACTGGGAGAGGACAAGAGTAAATTCAAGAGAAAGAGCTCCTTTTTATTTCTGAGGGGCCACTTTTGTTAATATCCATTTCCTTTCAAATGCGCCTCTCTGAGGATTTCAGGGAGCATACAAGTTCATATACCGCATTTCCTTTAGAGCTCAAAGGTTTTAATAAGTATTATACATACTTGTATCCACAAAAGAATAGATTTGTAGAGTCTAGGTCCGTTCATAAATTAAAACTGCTCTCATATTTGTTGTGTTCAGGCTCCATGTAGGTATACTGTAGATCATCATGGATACAGATGTCGTCAGTGAGAGAATCAAAAGCATAATGCCCAGTGCAGTTTGTGTGTGTGTGTGTGAGTGTTTGTTTGTGTGTCAGTTGCTTACTCTTTACTGACTTTAAACACACCTACCAATCAGACAATTGCATTGTGACCAGATATCATTACTAGAAGAACAATGACTTACTATCATGATCATTTTAGTTTGAATATTCTGCTTTTATTACTAGGACAGGTAGGTGTAGGTTAAAACTAACATTGTCAAGCTGTGTAGTCTTGCATTCTAATGTCTTACCTGATTACCTGTCTATCCAGAGCACGATGTTCCACTGCTTTCAGCGCTCCTCTTTCTATCTTCATGTTCTGCCTGTGTTGTGGCCAGATGCCATTATTTTACCAGAAGAACTATGACTGACCTGATGATCATTTTATTTTGATACATTGAGTGTTTTTTTTTTACTTTAATGTATCATGCTATTTAGCTAGCCATATAGTAAGTGTATAAAGAACAGTGGACCTGCACCCCTGTCCGACAGGGAACTGAGGCTGTTATAGCCATCTGTGCTCTCTTCAATGCCACCAGACTTCTTTGACAAAAACACAAATTTTACCACGCAGAACAGAGGAGTTGCTGGTCCTCGATTGGTTAGGGTTTTTTTGTGTGTGTGACTTCTGTCTTTTAAAGGCTTAGTTTGGATCCAAACTAACCTCTCGAGGCAGCAGTAGATAAGCAACTGAGGTAAAATTACTATTTTTGTGCAAGGAGTCTGGTTGAACATAGGTTCAGTTGGCCCTCTGGAAAGGGCTGTCTGACAGCAAGGTAAAGCTGTGAAAATATTCTAAATATAGCATATACTTAAACTGATGTAGATTTTTTCAGGTGGCGAAAATACATTTTAGAATGAATGGTAATACCGATGAAAAACAATAAGCAGAAAGATGCTAAAACATTATGTAGCTGATGGGAGCTTCAGGTTTGGGTAATAATTCTCTGTAGGTTTGTTATAACGAGCAAACCTTTTCCCATGCAGGGATTCATGTGATACATTGCAATTATAAAATATTAATTAGAGCTGCTTTAATTATTTGCACAATCATCAGTTCTGTAGTGTCTGCCGAATTGTAAATTGTATTTTAACTCAATTTAATTGAGCATTTCTATATTTACTTTCTGTGTATGTGTTTCCAAACTGGTGAATGTCTGTTATGAAAGTTACCTCTGCCACCATAAGATAGCCCGGTGTGCACAGATATAATATGAATATACAGTTTAAAAGCATGACTGTACTTATGTCTTTATGTACAGTACTTGTAGGGCTATGTCTTTCACCATCAAATTCATATCAATTCAGTTGTATATATGTAATGTAGTTTAAATAGGGTGTATATACAGTATACTCCCAAAGATGCAATAGGCTAATAAAGTCAGCCATTTTAGCCGGTCATTGTGGTCTAAGGTGAGACTTCTGACTTGAGTGTCTTTCAGCAAAACTCTGTGCGATACAGTCCACTCACAGCTTTTCGTCACTCTGTCACTCTGTAATGTACACTGTATTTTTTTTATCATCAGCTCACTTTCTTCCCTTCAATTCTCTCATCATCCCTTCCTTCTCCTGTCACAGCGGAGGGAGAAGCAGACAAGCGCTGATCGTATCGATGTTGTCTCTCTTCTTCATTTATCGCTCTCTTTCGTTTGCGTTCTCCCCCACCAAGGCCTCCCCATCCTCCCTGTGTGTTCTCCCCCATGGCTTTCCTCTACAGCAGTGCGTTGCCTTGGTAATTACCAGTTGTCTTAAACAGACAGATGGAATAAGAGAGAGTGACGGGCAATTTTCCAAGTGCCTGTTTTCCCCGTGCATGTGCACGCAACTCCGTTTAGCGTGTGTGCTCTGTATGCACGCTTCTTTACTTCTCGCCATCTTTTTCACCGTCACTTTCCTCACTCACCCTCTCCCTCTCTCTCTGTGAGTTGGTGTTTGTGCACGGCTGATGTGTGTTTGTGTGAGTGTGTGTGCAAGGATGTGGGGAATTACCTGACAGAACGTGTTAGTCCAGGATGGGAGCGGGACAGTCTTATCTCCTGCTGGTGTGTTGGCCATTTTAGATGCCAGGTGTCACTCCGGACCTCTGCAGGGCCCCAGGAGGCCCCTCCTCCCAACAAGCTCCTAACACAGCAATGGAGTAATGGAAAAGAAACTCTTTAAACTGTCAGGGCAAGGATGTTGGAGAAGAGAGTAGGAGGCAAACAAGGGCAGGCGGAGCAGGAGCTGGGTGTTGTATGTGGTTATATGAGGGACTGACACGCATTAACATGATGTCAGAGTTCACCTATGCACACCAATTAAATTTCCACACTCTCTTTCAGGCTGGTATGATCAGGATCGAGCAAGAGGAGTTTTTTATCGAGCCGATCGAGGGGGCCGATGGAGTGATGGAAGAGGAGGACGAGGAGGGAGGAGGGGGAAGGACACACATCGTCTATCGCTCCTCAGCCGTAAAGAAAGCGCCCATCAGCAGCGCAGCAGCAGACTACCACTCCAGAGGTCAGTCTGTAGCTCCCACTGTGCCACCCTCCACTTTCATACACTCTTCACTGGGTGCCTCTCATGCACGCTTCAGTTCTGTGCTCTTTTTAACTCCCATCTTCTCCATTTTTACTTGAACCAGCCGCATGTGGAAGTTATTTCATGACTGCAAGCAAAGTCCCCGATTATACACCCATATCTTTTCATTTAAAAGTCTCAACCTCTTTCTTGACTTTTTGTTATCATAAACATTCTCTGCAGTACATCCTGAAAGGCTGTACTCGCCCTGAAATAATCGAGCATCTTAGACTATTCTTTCCTCATGCACACCTGGTTATATAATCATATCAAACTATTGTATGCAAAGACAGTGAGTCACAGGAGGAGCATACTCTGCTGTCAAAAAGATTACACCTACACACACTCAAATGCATCCTTCTGTCACTGCACTAATTTTCCAGTGGTAAAAGAGTGACATATGGAGACACACATGTTTGACTGTTAAGGTAGCACCCTGTGTGCCTTTTCAGTATGCCTTGGCTGCCTTAAAAATTAACAGCTGGCACTCAAGTCTTTGGTTACTCTTCGTGTCGTTTTCCACTCTTTAGATGAAATAAATGCACTTTTCCTATATTCTTTTAGAGGAAGCATAATACTTGCAGTTTCACATAGCAGCTCTAGGATTAGAGAGAATGGAGACAAATGTGTATTCAAATAAGCTTTAACACTCATGGTTTGAATATTATCATACAAGCAAATTATATTTTCATCATAGGAATTCATCTATTCATGTTGTTTTATCTTGTATTGCTCCCAAATATAATTTCTTTACAACTGAATGAGAAGAACTCAACTTGGCTTTTAATGCAGTAAAATAAGGTTGTTGAACTTGCTTCAAGGGATTGTCCTTGAATCAGTTTAATTTGATCAATAAGGAAGTTGGGAAAATGCATACATTTTAATATCACCCCCCAAAAAAGGGACAAAATTATTTTAGTTTTAATGTTTGACCATCAAAAGCACTTAATGATGCTTCTCTATTTCAGCAACTCTCTACAGTACGATGTAAAAACACATAGAATAGAAACACAATCTGTGTGTCAATCTTTTATTCATCTTAAGCTTTCGTGGAGCATTTAATGCGCATGAACAATAAGGATGTGGAAGAGCAATGTCATAATGTGGAGTGCAACACATATGATCCCCCACAACACACAAACAGATGAAATGTACATTTAGAGTGATGCTTTATTACTCTCAAACTAAAGTCAAAATTAAATTAATATAGTCCCCATATAAATTTGCGTTCATTTGAGAGCATTCATTTGAGTGCATATATTGGCTCAGGAAACCTGGAGAAGACAGTGCATGCAGTATCAGCTGTAGGACTTGCAGATCAGATGCTTTAATGTTTGATACTATAGGGTTTTATTGAAAGTGTTTAATGGACTTGTGTGAAAGAATGCTACTTGTTATTTAGCTAAATAAATACAAAGAGGTTTGGAAAAGTTGTTATTTTAAGAGAAAAAAAGAAGGAAACAAAAGAAAAGAAGAATTCCCAGACAATGTAAATATATAAATATTCTGTATTTTCAGCTGTACTGTCGCATGTTTAAGGAGTTGGCTTGCTGGGGGACAAAAATATGATTGCTTCGCATGCCTCAGGCTTGTGTCAGTAGAAGTGGCTGCCCGGTCACTGTGATTGATCTGATGCCGACAAGTCAATCAATTGTGACCCTGACCAGTGCAAGATTCTGCATCTCAACGTTGTCGCAGAACCACATTTCCAGTATTGCACAGGAGCGAGTGGAAACGCTTTATAACGAGATGAGATCTGTATCTTCCTATTCTGAGCAGTTGACTCAAGAATGTCTAATAATATACAGAGAGAGAGAGAGTTTCCATAGGAACACCCAGTGAGGACAGACTGCATTAGAGTAACACAGATCTGCCCCCACTGTTAGTGATACCTGGCAGTGCGTCCGTGTACATACACACACGAGCACGAGCACACGAACTGATAAAAAAAAATACAAAAAACTATGCGGAAAGTCGCACGCACACATACAGGATGTAACCACACGTAGCTTACACTCCCTTGATCATACACTTCAGAACACACATACGTGTTACATGCACACAGACACGCAAACACACACACACACAACACGTCTCACTGCTCCTTGTTGCCTTTGAATCTTTCTTTCTAATGAAGAGTGGGGTGCAGATCAATAGCGTAGGATAGAACAGGCCACAGTGTGTGTATGTGTGTGTGTGTGTGTGTCTGTGTGCGAACGTGTATGGCGTGGGCATGAGTTCTGTGGTCGTCTGGCTTTGAGTGCCGGGATTTTCAAGGCTAAGCAGACAGACAGACTGTCAGACAGACATATAAGCAGGCATGTGCTGATCCCACTAGCATTGATGTGGATCTCGCGCTTTGTTTCTCTTGTCTCTTTTTTTTCTTGATATCTTTGTCTTAGCTATTCTAGACCAAAACATTATGTAAACACAGGTTTACCTTCCAGTTGTTACATCACATCACTGTAATATCACGGCCACATGGGCACACAGGAACACATTATATATCCTGCTGCCTTTTACACTCCTCCATCCTCCAGTTATAACCAAATCGAATCCTTTCCTCCCATCTTGTATTCCCTCATATTCTCTTTCTTAGACAATCACTCCCCCTTGTAGATCAATCAGGGACATTAGTGAATTAATTATTAATCAATCAATCATTTCTGGTGATCATCTTCGCCAAGCCTGCTTAATTCACAGCCAGTTATTCAATGTTGGACTCATTTCCTGGCTAAAGACAGAGGGAAGGAAGTTATATTTAGCAAGGTAATAGAGGAGCTCAAGAAGAAGAGAAAGAGAGATGAAGAAGGAGCGAGATTGATCGGTTTCTTACACCATAAGCTGAGGAGGTGTGAATCAATGTCCTAAGTGGAGAGAGCAAGCTTTATTATTAATGTGGCACATTCGTCAATTAATCGCTGTAGCGAGAGAAAACGAAGGATTGCCATTCATTTGTTGCTGGGCGGACAGAACTCTATCCTTCAATCTGTCTTTTCTTCACTCTTACAATTTCATTTTCCCTCCTTCTCTTATCTGTGGTTTTTATCAGTGTCTTTCTGTTCTTCTAATTTTGTTTTCTCTTCCTCTCTTACTTGTTTTTGTCTGGGTTTAACTTCACTTGCTATTTTGTGCCACAAACAATCTCTCATCTTGCTTTCTGGTGTTTGCAGGCATGTTTTTTCTGAGGCTGGACACTGATGGTGGGGTTTAGTATTTTGACTAGTGGGACTGGACTGTCTTTGTGGGTGTGGTGCTTTAATTGTAATTACAAGGATGTGTATGGCGCCAGTGCAGTGTTGTGTCCAGGGTACGAAGACATGCCCAAACAGATTTTTTTTTACCATAATCCCCCTCACCTAGTCTGCTACCTGGGCTAAAAATCCACATAAATATTATGCATTACAGCCATGCAATGTTAAGAGACATCTTTTCTCACTTTTTCCTTGTCTAGTTACACTTTTCAGCGCTACATAAGCAACATGTTAGACTGTTATGTGTTATATTTTGGTAGCATGGTAACTCTCATTCAGTTCTGAAAACGCATACACAGCAGGTTATAGAATTATGTTTGAAAAAATATAGTCCTTTGCAGCTTTTTTCATTGACATTTCAGAGATCCGTATTGTTCTCAAAGCAAAAAAGGCTTCCTGCAGCCTCTGGGGCAGAGAAATTGCAATTAGCGGCGGAGGACTGAGGCAGCTACACATGGACCCCATGCATCTGCACAAAGCCAGCATTTGTTTTACTCCTCAGGCGCTGCTGTTCTTGTATGTTTTGTGCTGTACTGTATTTTCCTCTACTATTATGGGCTGATGTGAGCTGTTGTGAGGTCACTGTTGTTGAGTTGTTGGTGTATGCCACGCTAAAATACAATGACGCTTCAGCTTTGGCCTGAGCTGAGAAGAAGTTGGAGAGGGTCAGACAGAGGCCAGTGGTTCTAGTCACTGTGGCTTAATGTCTGGCTCTCGCATCCAGAAAATGAAGGGGGCTCCCTCGAGGACCCACTCTCTCTCTATCTCTCTCTGTCTCTCTCTCACTTCACTCCCTCTTCCTCGCTCGCCTCTGCGCTGTTATCTGTTTCTGCTGGTGTGACACAAGGATAGTCATGTGGTGCAAGGGTTTTAAGAGGAGACTCGTGACTAAGCACTTAGAGATGTGAGCGCACAAACACACACACACACACACACACACACAAACACATAAATGGCCTGAACTGATTGTCAGTACGTAGCAGGGGTCCGATTTCAATATAGTCTTCACATTCGCCCTAAAGCAAAATTGTCTAGCCCTAGAACAACTGAAATCAGGAGCCGTCTTTCCTTAAGGCTGCTGTTTTAAGCTCTAAAACAAGCAGTTTTAGATGAGAATTCCTTCACTATGTGTAGCCTATGTACATGATGTCATTTGCCAAGGCTTGTCTGAGGTTGAGCATTTTTAGCATGTAAAACCCAGAGCTTATTGGCAAATTCCAGAATTTGTAAAGATAAATTTTGGTGAATCATTATAACGTGGATAAAAATGGGCTGTGAAGCTCAAGATAGCAATCCAGAATAGCCTATTCAGGAAAAGAAGGTGTAAAGACTTCCACATGATCCAGTGTGTGAAAACAAAACTGGCTGTAACAAGGTACTGGTCACAGATCCGCTGGTTGTTTAGTTCTGACAGCAGCTGTTGCTGATTTCAGGTCAGCAGAGCAGCGGCACAGCACTCAGTTTCACAGCTTGCATTATGTACGGGACGTGTTTTATGTATGCAATAATGTGTAATGCTATATAATAATATTGGTGTTATATTGTCCAGTAGGATCCACTGTAGATCAGCAGTGTGCATTTGCGCATACCTACATAAACATGTGCAGCCAAGTGGAAACATACAGAAAAGAACAAACACATACACAGGTGCAATGTGTGTGGACTGTCCACATACACACGCACGCA